TCTATGGCATTACAGAAGGACCTCAGAACACTAGAGGAATGGGGAACTAATAACGAACTGGTATTTAATCTGGATAAGCGTCGGTCCATGTTTTTCCGCACTCCTGATCCCCAGAAAACATCCTACTATCTCTGTGGTTCACGTCTATCCCATACCACAGTAGAAAAAGACCTGGGTTTAACGGTGACGGAGAAACTGGACACCAGTTCCAATTACCCAGGTGATGTCTCAAAAGCATATGGGGTACTACACTTTGTGCGTAGACAACTGGGTGCCCTCACCCCAGAACTCTTTCTGAAGCTCTACAAGACTTACGTACGGCCCCACTTAGAGGTCCATAACGTCTTCGCTCCACCACAGCTGAAAAGAGGCGCAAACTTACTGGAGAAAGTCCAGAGGCGAGCCACGAAAGGGGTTGTTGGAATGCAACGAAAACCATATGAGGATAGACTGAAAGGCCTAGGCCTATACTCTCTAAGCTATTGAAGGATACGTGGCGACTTAATAATGGCTTACAAAATAATGAGTAACCCAAGTCACCCAAACAGAGGAGTTCTACCGAGTGGCCACTACGGAGATCCTCGAGGAAACCCCAATAGAATAGCCCACCAAAGGTCAAAAACGCATGTGCGTTCACAGTTCTTCTCCCTCCGAGTCTGCGGGTACTGGAACGCAGTACCAGCAGAGGTGGTCTCCGCCCCAACTGTTGAAATCTTCAAGAAGAGGCTAGGCAGTCATGCAGAGACTCACGGTCTACCCACACCTAGCTGGAACACGAAGTGATGTCAAGCCACCCCAACCAGTTTTCTTCCTATTGTAACCATTTAAGCCCTTTTCACCCCTTCCACTTGCCATAAGTTAGCCTCACTTACCTAAGTTCTTCATACCTTTGCACCCCTACTCACCTTACTTGGGTGTAAGTAGATTACTCCATTAGTTCACTTTTCCTCTCTTCTTTTACTCACACAAACACTTTCTAGGTTTTCTCTTCACTATCTCCAACCCTCTCTAGCGACCAGCCCTAACAACTGCCTGGCAACTTGACATCTGAAGAAGCCGACTGCACCAGAGTCCAAGTCAAACAAACCAACACCTAACTTTCCGTTCTGTAAATCAGAGCTACAGCAGACGAGTGGCTGGACCAACTGCATCGTAATCTGCCAAAAGATCAGGAGCCGTTCTGCAAGACCAAGAAGCGAGCAAGAAGAAATCAATTGGTTCACACAAGCTCGTCAAAGAGATATTGGATATTGGAATTGTTTAGTCTTACTATCTTTACCAAACGCCCATGACAACTCTTTGAGATACTTTAAATAAGTTTATTTCCAGTTAAGTTTATTGTCTGTTGCAGTTAATTACATGGTTATGTGTAAATATTTCAATGGAATGTTTTGTTATATAAGAAAATATTAGTTTTTGATACTTGGCTTAAGATAACACTTATGTAACAGGAAGCAATACTTATCGGGTTTTGAATTTTTAACTTATGTCAACATTATCTGAAACGTCGTAGTATTTGGCAGCTGCACGCTATAATTATGACTAAACAAGTCAGACTAAAAAATATGATGAGATAGTTTATAGTTTTGAGAACAGAAGGGACCAAATAGTAGATATTCCTCAGAATTTTCTTTTCACCCTAACCCACAATGAATTAATAACAGACTTAAATACATGACTGTTTCGCTCATAAGACACAGCTTTTATAGTGCTTTATTCTAATGGGAGTGATTATCAGCAATATCCTTTATCATGTATGTTGGACCTTCAGGTAAACAGCTACTAAATATTTAACCAACTGGTTTCTTAATTTAAATGAGAAATAAGTTAGTCAAGACAAAATTTTAGCGAAATATTAAAGTGTACTGAACATTAAACGCCTGGAAGATGAAAAATACTGGATTCGTTGAATCTTCACCAGTTATTTTCAGGTAAATTTTGAATAAACGAAAGTGGATCCTTGCTGGATAATTAGTCTTTAGTCTTCAATAAATAGAACAGCAGACTACTAGCCTGTGTTATTCTCTACGGTGTTTATACCTATAAAGATCCAAATTTTCCTTGAATGCTACCACCGAGGGAGTTACAACTAATCATTTTGATAACGAGTTGCAGTAATTGACCACTTCGTGGGAGAAGCGGAACTGTATTTGAATATGAGCTGACTACGGTTTTCAGGCGTTTTTATTTTGTCTAAGGCAAGGAATCCTAGAAGGAGTAAATAAATTAGATAGATCAATGCCTAGGTCATTATTAGAAATTTGAAAGGCTCAAACCAAACCACCTGTCTACACAGAATAAGGAAAAATGTTTAATTCTACTAGTTACTCTTTAGAGAAAAGGTAAGCAGGACCTGTCAATAATTTAATGGGACTCTTTCTAATGTACTGGCTTTCTTCTTGAATCATAAACTGACTGTCCGGATATAACACCTTACATGAGAGAGGTATAAGATGCTTAACATCTCGTCAAAGAATTTGAGTGCGCTACTGAGCAGTCACAGCATTAGTCTCAAAAAGAATTTCAATTTACAGTCAAATTTAATTCATGACTCATTATAACCTCTGTCCTCTTGTTCAAAGACTCGAAGTATTGGTTGACCATTTATTGAGTTTCCTCCACAGTAGCCACCCCTAATAAACATTACCGCACTACTAAACCAGGTCATCAAAGTCAGCTTAAATTGCAGACCTGTCACAATTCTCATTAGGAGTGATCCTTCTTATCTTGATTTCGCCAAATGACAGTGATGATAACCTGAACATATTATTTCAACGTCGTAAAGAAGGAAGACTACTGTTCCAAAGATAGTACTCTGAGGAACACCACTGGTGACAGGTTACCACTTAGGCAGTGTTCTATTCACTCTTACTCTAAGCCTTCTCTTATGTAAACACTCCATAATCCAGACTTTAACTCAGTTGCCAACACTAAATTTGCAAACCTGCTTCACACACTTTGTATGTGACTCTTGCAAAGTAAGTGAACACCAAGTTCGCAGTGGGTTTGTTACCTGTAGCGTAAACCCAGTTCCCCGTCTCAGAGATTAGGTTTGTCAAAGAAGAGTTATTTTGCCATTTTATCGGTAGCTTATCTTCTTCTAAATGCTTCAATATTTCGCCACGAATTATGTTTTCCATTGTATTAACTGAGATGCCATTGAGAATAATAGGTCAGCAATTGGTGACTAGTTATCAGTTATCTTCCTAAAACACAGGACCTATTACAGCATCTTTCCAATACATAGGGAGCTATGTCTGAGATAAGAGCATAATGAATAAAACAGTTAAAGGCTCATTAACAGTATCAGCCAACAGTAACAGGATCGTACGATGTAGTTTGTCTGGATCCAGTGACTTTCAAGGGTTTATAACTCTGAGCAATCGGAGGACTGCTTCCGTGATTCGGATAAGTTCCGTTAGAGAAGCGTTCAGAACGATAAACATGTCCAGAATTTCATCATAACTGTCCGCAGAAGACACTAGATTAAAAAATTTAGATAAACTACCTACTTTAGACAGGTTCGATTCTGCCACATCTTTCTCTTCGCTGTTTGGTAACAAAACAGAGATTCCCTAGTAATGATGGAAAACACTTGTAGCTCAAGATGAAGGTGTTTTGGTGTTCCCTGAGCTTTGGCATTTTGTCGCGGACGTTTCATCATTAGGCTTAGTAACATCTTTGGCACTAAGCGTATGAAAAAAACTATTGTTGAAGAGCCAAGATAGCTTATAAGCTTCCGAAAGGGTCTTCAAAGGAATAAATGGTGATATTTCTCCATGGTATGTATTTGTAAACCTTTCCCAGGCCATCTCTACAGAACTATACACATCAACGAAAAAGTCATTCGGAATTGCTGTGTCTCTAACCTTTTGCTTTTTCATGCACCAAGCATTTGAGTGAGAGAAAATTATCGCATAAATCGAATGCGGAGTTCCAAATTTAAACTTGAATACAACATGATTACTACTGGTTAATGAGGCTAGGTAATCTAGGTTTACCATGGCCTCAAATTGACTTGCGAAGACTGAGGGCTCAAAGTATATAAGACGCTTTACACTCTGAGTTGGTGCGTATTAACATTAGGTGCATTAAAGTCTTCTACTATCAGAAGTTTAATGCTAGTGTCCCACTTCGGAGTATAGTATAACGCGAAACTCCTGTTATCAAAAATCCTTGTTTAGAACTAACTTGACGACTAACAGCATCACAGATGCTACTGAAGTGTGTCTCAGAAGTAGTTGGACGGATCCGCAGGTTATCATGATCATAAAGGATTAGGTCACCAGCTATACTAGCCCTGACCGTGTTCGTCCCAATACTTGTATAAACTGGGATGAGTGGAGACGTTTCCACGCCCAACGTTAACCATGTTTTAGTGACAGCTATTGAACCTCGTTTTCAGTACTTACTCATTTTACTTTGGAGACCGCAAGCATTAAAGCAACAGACCACTGAGGTTGCTAGTACAGATGTCAGACTCACTAATATTGCCCTTGGTAACCGATGCTCCAGAGATCTGGTCACTCAGAGACCTTAAATTATAAGTTTTTTCTCCCTTTTTTCCTGTTGGGGTTTCGGAAAGACAAAGAACTCCCTCCTCTTTATCCTGCCTTGAATTGACCAATCAGGACGTATATTCTCAACTTTAATCTTATGTTCATTCCTGAAGATAATATCGAACTTATCATGATTTCTGAATATAACTTTTGCAAGACAGAGTGTGTAGTCAGTCTTGCCATCCCACTCACCAAATGCTATGTCCTTCTCCACTTGAAATCCCGGGAAGATTCAAAAAAGAGTTGGGGTTGCTGTCCCAACTAGGCTTAGGTTATGTTAATGTCTTTTGGAGTCCTTCAGCTCTTCCAAATTTCAGAAGATTATACTATACTCTGTACCCTTAACGTAAGATACGGTTTATTCAGCACTTGGTACTTTTTTTTAACCTTTTGCTCATAGTTGTCGCTAATGGCAACTGTTTGTTGATCTACTCTTCTTAGAGGTTTGGATCCATTTTGGCTGGGATTCGCTGAAGTTTGCAGAAGCTCCATCTTGGTATAATTTGTCTGGTAGAGTAAGTATTCAATGTTCTCTCTGTGAAATAAACGCATTTTCGGCTAGGCTGTCGGATTTCCTGTCTTACTATAATGGTTGGTCAGGATAGGAGGCTGCAAATTGTTAACAACCTTGTCTTCTTCTTCAAACACGACAGCCTTAGTGGTTTTCTGTTGACAAGATATTTTACCATGACATTACCCGTGTAACCATCCAACTCTAAACTCGTCATAATGTTGTTATCGGGATCATTTCGAAAGGGTTTTTAGATACCACTTTATCTGAAGTATAATGGATCAACAACATCAACAGCTTAAAAAATAACTAGGGAGAGGCAGGTTTGGTTTATCTTGTATAACCCATCGATGTTGCTCTGGTACACACCTGGGAGGATGATTCACCGCATCCATCATATTTCATCCCGTGGGTAACGGAAAACTTGCCATCAGATCGTCCTAAAGGGGGTCTTTCCAAAACCGCAATGTAATTCACAATAAAAAAGTGTGTAAAACAAAAGTGAAGGAATTCTACTTAAGACCAATGCAATGCAAGAAAATTAAAAGGTGAAAACAGAAAAGGAAGCCTAGACTCTCGTAACCAACACAACAAGAAAGTTAATCAATCCAATTTTCAAATGAAATGTTTTCAGATGAAGTTAACCAGGTTAGCTTTTAATGTGCTAAACACATTAAGAGCTAGAACAACACAGAAAGTAAGGAATGCGATTCTTCTTTTCAAAGCATACTTTAAAGCAACAAGTTTGCGTGTTTGACTGTATCATCACTGTGACAGGGCAATGGACCCTGGATAAATATCTGCTTTCCCTCTGCTATATGGTTATCAGTTTGGCTTCTGTTGTCAAGAAACTGATTGGTATACCGTAAGTGAAACACTCTTTACAGTAGTTTGTGTCAAAATTCACATATTTACTTCCATTTCTGTCTTACAAATATCCTCAACTATTACATTGTTATTTTCAACATTTATTCTTGTCAAACGCTAATCACTAGTCATGATAAACTGTCATAATGTCAACTAGTGGAAATTAAATCATGGAAGCCTTACTAATATAATATTGTATGAGAGTTACGAAAAAGGATTCTTCAGACATTGAAAGATTTCAGTAAAGCATTACATTTTCTTAAACATTTTTATCAATCTGACTAAGATAGCTATGGTTGGCAGACTTGCATTGATACTGGATGAGGAATGAGGGTGAAATGAAAATCTGTGCTGAGGTAGGATTCTAACCAGAGACCTCTGGGTTATCGACCCGGTGCTCTACCAACTGAGTCACTGAAATAAGTTATTTTTGTATGAGAATTTCACTGTATAGCTGCTTTATATTCTGTAGGTGCAAGTGTTCAGAATAATGCCATCTCTGAAAACTATTAACCCTTTCAGAAAGTTTTAATGCAGAAATTGCACCTTTGGTTGAACTACTGAGAAATTAATTATTAAACTAATGAGTTTAAACTGAAATGCATTAAGACAGGAGCTCAAACGAAAAATACTAACCCTATGTACTTGGTGACAATGGGGAAATTTTTATCTGTTTTGCGAAACAATTGATCCAACACAATATCTAAAGCTGGTGACGATAGTACACAATTATAATTTTGCAAAGATTGAAAACAAGACCCACACAACAACTTAGCTCTTTATGTAGACTCATGTAAAGTATTTAATCTCGATACAAACGGTTTTTATACAAAGATTTCATAGGTTTTATTTTGCTAAGGGACCAGAAGAATGTTTGTACCTAAATAAATCGAAGAATACTTTTTTGAGTGTCATCCAATGTTCTGAATGCATTTTTACCGACTCTGAACCATAATCAGATGCTACCAATTTAGCGTAAAATAATTTGTTAAATATCGAGTTATTGAAGGTATCCTGACCAACAATGGACTGGATGGTTTGAATTATTCCCTATTTTTCAGTGACGAACTGCATTCTTACTTCTAAATCTTATAAATTCAGGGGTCATAAAATTATAGAAACGCTGTTTACTCCAATGATTGTACAAAAAGATCTAAGGACAGTCGTTAGAATCCCCACTAGAAATATTAATATCGAAACTCATCCAGTAACCTTATGCACATTCGTGCATTAAGAAATGAGCCGCACGTATTGTGTGATGGTCAACGATAATACCTGGCTGCCCAAATCTCGACAGGTATTCTAACCCGCCACCTATTAGTGGATGGTCATCTCTAAACCAATGACCCAAATCTCCACAAACACTAACATCCACATTTCATATATTCCATAGGTGGATTATTATTTTATTGATTTTACGCATCACTATATATATATATATATATATATATATATATATATATATATATATATATATATATATATATATATATATATATATATATATATATATATATATATATATATATATATATATATTCTTCCTGGACTGCCCATTTCATGTAAATCAGAAGTAATAATTTCCAAAGATCTTACGGAAACTGAAGAATGAATGCGTAAACAATAGCCTATTTAGCCATATTGTATTACGTGATGATAAAGACCAACTTCTTTTTACTACGCTAGTGCTTCACATTAATAGACTGAAAGATGAATACTAGTGATCTTTTGCGATTCAAATAAGAAACAGAATGTAGTTTACCTACTAGTGCGTGATTATTCAGGAAGTTAGTGGACACAGCATCAGTGTGTTCACTTTTTTTTACTTTCACTCTTCTCAAAAATAAGGGGAATTTGTTACTAACCGAATCTCTGAATGTAGAAGAGGTAAGCAGAACTGCTCGTATCACTTCAGTCATCGTTATAAATTATCTCTTCATCTAGACTTTTTACTGAATAGACCTACAGATAACCAATTCTCATTGTTCAGCACAGGCCTTTTCTTTGGAGTTCTTAAAAATCCTTTGTTCTTACTCGTTATCAATAGATGTCCACCTTCGTAAAATCTTTCTTTTTTCTTGTGAATGGTTAAGCAGTTAGTCAAATGTTTGACTTTATTTTAAACTCTATAACATAGCATTTATTAAAGCGTATCAATCTTGCTTATCATTTACGATTCACTAAGATTTCTCAACTCATTTTACTAAAGCCAAAAGAACTGAATCTCATTTTTTGGTGTCAGTTGTTAAAAGTATGTATAAAGGATTGTCATCGATGAGGAAGTGATTAAACAAGGGCTTGGATGCACTGAAATACACACTTTACCTCTTTTTGAAGTGTTGCTACTTAGTTCACTACAATATCCTAGTGATTCTAATATATCTTTCAAGTTCTGTTGAGATCCTATTCCGCATTTATTGTTAACTATCCCAATATTCATCTGCATGAAAGTTTACCAACTGTTTTAACTTCCCATGAGACATTTTGAAGACACTTGCTTTTAGTAAAGAAAAAGAGGTCATTGATATCTCCATAGATTTATGGGCCTGTATTATTTGTGAGAAATGATTATGTAAACACATACTAGGCATATTATGATAAAGTGACCAATGAGTCATTCTGTTTTAACCTTATGCATAGTGAAGATGAACAGCACTTATACAGTAAAGATATTGATCATCAAGATTCTTAGTCAAAAGAATCCTCACATTTCAACTATGTCATATTCTGTAGATATCTATTACAGATATGATTCAGAGACTGTAAATGATTAAAAAGATATGAGTATCTGTACAAGGTAGAAGATACATGTGCTGTTATGACTGAAAGTAGTACACTACGCAAACAGAAAAAGGTGAGGGTGATTTGGACTCAACATGAAGCATCAATCAGTAGTATTACAAGGAGAAATTAACCATAAATATTTGAGGATTCACATTAAGTGACGTAATATTTTCACATATACTCTCAAGAAAACAGTCCAATAAGTCACAACTTTGAAAGTATTTCCTTATTTCCTGTAAGGATTAAAATCAGCTTTCTCCAAAAGCGTATAATAAATATAACTTTAGAAGTTATTTATAAATGGGATTTATGAAACAGTTTTGACCACAGCTGCTTTTACTTCTTATGATATTCTGAACAGTTAGTACTTTTTTGATGCGCTTTTTAATGCAGTTAATTTATTTCTCATTGATTAGACCTGGAGCAAACAAACCGTTATAACTTGCACTTAATCCCGTTGTAAAGTGGGAAATGACGACATCAGCCAAAAAACAAAAGGCTAAGTTAACAGAGGAGACAATAGTTGAGTATAAAGCACAATTTGATACGCTAGACCAGAATAACACGGGGAAAATATCGGTTCCGGATGTAAGTTTGTTGATGCGGCGAGTGGGTTTGATGCCTTCAAATATAGAGATTGAGGTGAGTCTCAGTGGTTCAAAACTGTTACAAAGCGCATAATCTCAACATTATCAAATAAAATAGCAATGAACATCGTTGATATTCAAACTAATACTGATAAAGCCACTCATTTTAGGCTAGGTATGAGAAAACTTATTTCACTTGCACAAGATAATACAAGAATTGAACACAGGTATCTAGAAATTTAAGCTGTTACACATTCGAACAGCACAAGCAGTCTTAAAAATTTATCAAATTATAAAACCTGATATTATCTGAAGAGTGACTGCTTTACAAGTGACTGTATCATCTCTTTTAGCGTAACCGCAGATGGAAGTACCCTAAGATGCATAAAATAGTAAGAGGTTATTAAACCACTGTTCATCAATAGTAGGTGTACGACTCACCAGTTCCGACTCTCAACTTCCCACTAGATGGTAATGAGTTGAAAGTGCTCTACTCCAACCCAACCTGCCATGTATGGGCTTATGGGGAGTTATCAGTTGAGTTGACGACAGCTAATAGTGTCCGCCATGCCCATTGTCACTGTTCTTATTTAACTCACTGATAAACGTACTAATGGACATAACCCTAGGTTAATCTGACTTAACTGGGATTGACCTACTACCTGGAGGTTATCTGGTTGACTTGGAGTATGCAGACGATATTGTCCTGCTATGTAAAGATGCTGAAATGTATGGTATTCTGAACGCGTTGAGCAGAAATCTGAGTATGTTTGGCATGGATTTCATAAATATAAGATGATGGTTCAGGACTGGTCTGCGACCACTCCCACCTTAATGATTAGGAGTTAAATGGTGAGACGTGTGGACCATTTCATGTACTAGGAGTATTGCATCAGCCCGGTTGCTGGCAAAATTTCAGCCCAAATACAGAACGCCCGTTTGGCACTTGCCAACTAGCGTCATTTATGGTAGCGGCCGGGAGGATATCCGACTATCAATCAAACGACGAGTATTCTACGCTGCAGTCATTTCTGTCTTGTTGTACGGCTGTGAGGCATGCCCATTAAAGTTAGAAGACATGAAGCCATTGGTGGGGTTTGATCACAGGTGTTTTCGTAGCATTTCTCGCATTCGGTGGAATCCCCGTGTGGCAATGATAAGGTCAGGCGAAGGGTGCTTAGTCGATTGATGAGTAAGTACATAAGTTCAAAACAATTTGCTTAATTGGATTCTGATCATTCACATGGTTCTTTACAAATGATTCGAAATTATTTTTATTTTTTAGCAAAAAGTGGACATATTTAAGAAAACTTGTGTATAAATATTTCTGTTTTAGGAATTGATAACTGAAGTGGATAAAGAGAAAACAGCTCTAAATGAAGGTATAACTTTCAATCAGTTCTGTGAAATAGCATCAAGAAAATACAATGACATATATACAGAATCAGATATAATTGAAGCATTTCGTACATTTGATGTTGAAAATAATGGCTTTCTCTCTGCTTCTGAGCTTCGTCGTGCACTATGTACGATGGGTGAGAACTTGACAGATGAGGAAATGGAAGCCATGCTAGATTTAGCTAAAGTTGACAGCGATGGTAATGTACATTACGAGGAATTTGTTCGTTCTATTTTCTCAGAATTTTAAAAGGGCTATGTCAGTCAACCCTTTACAATTTCATTTTCATAACTCAAAAATTCTGATTTCGATCTACACATTTTCAACCGATGTATTTATCAAATATTTCAAAAAAAATATGTGTACAAAGAAACGATTACCACCGTAACCGGTATAACAGTTTATACATAGTGCACAAAGCTTTGAATAAAAAGACATTATATTGGGTACATTTAAAATACGAAAAGAATGATAGAACTATTTTGTTAAAACAACAGTACTGATTAGGTGGTTGTTGGGATATGCGTAACAGCCAACAGCATACTTCTTTCATTATTCAAGTTGCTATGCTAAAAAGTAATATACAATTTGCGAAACCACCTATAAAAATGCAAGAAATTTAGATAGCTGTATAACTTCTAGGAAAATCATGCCAAGATCGGTTTCTTTTTCGAGTTAAACTTGCTGCACTGTCTTGAAAAGCAAATTTAATCGATAGTTCCGCAAAATTTCACTACATGCATTCCATTTAGGTAGCATTATTACTCGGACTCGTATCGTAACATGGGTAACAAAGTTTTAAGAGCTTACATTGTTCAGTCTTTTATTACTAAAAACCTTAGTGATATATTACGAAAGTACTATTATGAATGCATCGACAGTATACCATAGTTTGAAATTCCTGGCGAAATTTCAGCTGGAATACAGAACGCCCGTTTGGCACTTGCCAACTAGCGTCATTTATGGTAGCGGCCGGGAGGATATCCGACTATCAATCAAACGACGAGTATTCTACGCTGCAGTCATTTCTGTCTTGTTGTACGGCTGTGAGGCATGCCCATTAAAGTTAGAAGACATGAAGCCATTGGTGGGGTTTGATCACAGGTGTTTTCGTAGCATTTCTCGCATTCGGTGGAATCCCCGTGTGGCAATGATAAGGTCAGGCGAAGGGTGCTTAGTCGATTGATGAGCTCATGATCTTTCGTCGACTAAGATGGCTTGGACACGTCGAGCCACCGCCTAAATTGAAGTGCCATGCTGGTGGGGGAAGTTCGATAGAGCTGAGAGAGTTCAAGGTGCCAGACCAAGACATGGTACCAGTCGATGAAGTCTCTAACTGTTGGTCTAAGTCATGTGGGAAGATGTAGACTGCTTGGTAAGGGTCCCGGGATGAAATGAATCAGTGGTTGGAGACTCTTGGTGAAGTGGCTGAAAATCGGTCACAATAACGCAGATGTACTCATTCCTTGAAAACTTCTTAATTTTGAATATTTGCATTAACCGTTACTTTCAGATTGTTTATTCCCTCTAACTGCATCAGAGGATCAATATAATATGCTAGTAGTTTACCACTGGAATTTCATCAGCCTTCTTCAAATTACATCACATATTAATAAACCATACGAAACTACATACTGTCCATGATGAATGGCATACTACTTGAAGTAATGACTCTGCTGGTAAAAATTTATATCAGAGAAATAATCGACTGACCTTACCAGACGTTAGCAAAAAACTCATTGGTTTTGAGCAGTACTCTCATGTGTTTTACTTCAGCAAAAAACAGGGAAACTGTTTGCACCCTACAGAATTGGACTGAGGTTGAACGAATACTATTCCCAAAACGCCATAAATCACGCCACTCGTGTTTCAAATAGTCTTGGTCACAACTCTCAAAGAAAGACGATGGTTTGGAAGTAGTCTGTATGCTATCTACTCGTCTTTTATAGCAGTGTCAACACTAACTAAATAACCACAAAGCCATGTAGAAATTAAAAGAGGTTTAGTTCCTAGCAATATTAAACTACTGAGTTGTATGGTCTTTTGGATTCCATTCGCGGTGTGATGCTAAAAATACTCGATCTGACTACTTTTTACACCAAAGATGCATGTCACGAGCTAATCACTTCTACATTTTTTCGGAGTCGCCAAGTGAACTGGAAACAGGAAGAAAGGCATAACCAAGATATGAACAAAGAAAAATCAACCAGTATTTCAACATGAATTTATTCAGTAGTCTCAAACATGGGCCACAAAACTTCCGAATCACCTGGGTCCGGAAGACTGAAAACCGTGTCACAAGAACAACAAACTTAGGAACTTTGTGGGATCGGACCTAAACAGTTTCGATATCAAACTGAGTGGTGAAACTGAAGTCATACTAATCAGTTAAGTTGTCGTTGATAGCAATCATCAAGTTCGACCAGACTAAGAAAAGTGACACCTTTTTATATCCATTTTCCCGGATGGAACAAAGTATAACTTTTACCATAAACTTATTGACCTCAGATAAGTGCATGCGGAAAATGTCATAACACTAGTGGTAGATTCAAATGCATAGGTTGTATATCCAGGCTTGGAAGAAAATCATGCTAGTAGTCAGTACAAATAGTCTCCTTTTGGGTTTTTACAAGTCACAATCTATCTCTAACAAAATGGAATTTCGGTGTGCTGTTTACTCTAACCTGGACTCAAATACACTATATAGCATAAGCTACTCACAGCGTGACTTCACGTAGAATTACCACCTATTTTTGACTTATCCGTTTGGACTGTAATCATGTTTTAGTGCGTAAGGTACACCTCGTATTTTAAAAATATGACGCTTAGCAAGTTAGGATAACTAAATTTCTTGTAGCCAAATATTAAATGGAACGAGATTCATGATTGGTTGCCTATCCTCCAGAAAGTGTAAATAGGCATTGGTTGTACAAACAAGACGTCGTAAGAACGGTAAGCTAAACTGTTTCGAGCTTCAATGAGTGTTTAGCAAATAACCATGGGGTCTCTGTACGTTCCCTGAAAGGCCTCGTTGCTCACTGGTCCATCCTGGTGAGTGCTGAGTACGCCCTAAATGTGAGAAAACACAATGAGGTGATGACTGCAGGGAACCAGTTTCACTTGACAACAGTTGGATGTTGTAGGCGCAACCGACATCAAGAAAACAGTTTTCAGTGAGCTGATGTAAGAATATACTATATCAACCGATGACCTACCTCCAAGACGTTGAACGGACCACCTCGAAAAATATTTTAGCTGAACATTATTCCACTGACTGAACTAGCACCTGCCGACTGTAAGATGATATTCTGTACTGACTTCTAATTTTATGCTGAAAAAAATTGAGTGACTGACCACTTCACTTTCCTGGGAAATTGAATCGGGTAACAGAATCTCATCTTGGATCCAAAGGGAAATTCGATATTTCCCACCTTACACCATTCATAGCACTGACAAGACATCAGACTGCACATCAAAGAACAGGCATACTGCCCAACAGTTCGCTCTAGCCTACTCTATATTTTTGAAACACTTCTAAATATGTCTTATCGAATTCTAGACTGCAGAAGTAGGTCTATGATCGTGCCCTATGTTTTTCGGGAGAAAAGTATCCCCTCTGTAATATTCACTTCAACAGTTCGGAAATCTTTTAAGTTTTACCTTCAACCCCAATTTTTTCACTTCAAACAGTGATTGATGAGTTAATTGACGATACAGTACAGAAAAACAGAAGTATGAATGCAACAGTTTGACGTGAAGTGGCCCTCTGCAGTCCTATATAGCCCGAAATGATTGTGGCATTGTACTACATAATAAATATTACCTTTCGTTCCAATACTATTTAGTATGTCTTATACTTCGTGCTACAGTCATAGTAAAACGAATTATATGAAGATTATAGCACTTTTCATATAAACAACAAGGAAAAATAATAACTGTCGTGATAAAAATTTGTCTTTTAGTCGCACTTTAAAAGTTTTCATTCCACATTTTTTAAAGTGAAGTAGTAAATTAAGACCACAGACTTTTCAAATAGTAGGGTCATAAAGCAGAAGTCAATATTATTTAAATACAGATGGTAATCAAAGAAAAAAACTAGAAAACTAGAGTAAAATCCTCCACTCAGCAAATACAGCATACACCCACTTTTCATAGAATAATTTAAAAGTAATATTGTGTAAGTACATAAGTTCAAAACAATTTGCTTAATTGGATTCTGATCATTCACATGGTTCTTTACAAATGATTCGAAATTATTTTTATTTTTTAGTAAAAAGTGGACATATTTAAGAAAACTTGTGTATAAATATTTCTGTTTTAGGAATTGATAACTGAAGTGGATAAAGAGAAAACAGCTCTAAATGAAGGTATAACTTTCAATCAGTTCTGTGAAATAGCATCAAGAAAATACAATGACATATGTACATGTCAAGTTGATGTATCAAGGAATTCAGACAAAAGCGAAACTGGGGAGTCACGGGTGAAGTGTAGGTCTTCAAGAATATGCTGCTTCAGGCGCAACTTCTTCTTAAGGCTTTCCAAGAATAAACACTGTCTTTCGAGTAAATGTGGAAGTTTCTCCAGCTCATACAGAATATCATTATTAGTTTCGAAGAGAGATTTTTTAAAACTGTCTAATGAATCATAAGTACCGAAAACCTTTCGTGAATAAAGTAGATTAAAATATTTCCGAGTAACAGGATCTGTTTTAATCCATTTCTCAGACGGAAAATCAGTCGGATTTTTAGCTATATTTAATCGTATTTCATATTCCTTCACCAACTCGTCCCATTTTTGGCATTCACTTTGATAAATTATGGTCACATCTTTAGTTGTCTTGTCGGTCACTTGGCAACTGACATTTGGATCACCTGATACGGTTTGCTCCTCTAAACATTGGTTGACTGGACAAGAGAGACGAATAACAAGACTCTTTCTAGTAGACCTCCTAGGTTGGGTTTGAAAATTTGGAGTACTTTGTTCATCTCCCAGCATCCTTGTGCTCATAGGAAACACCTGTACAAATAAAAAAAATCCGATAAGTGATAAACAGTACTCAATACTGAGTTAGTACAATAAAATTCCTACTCCCAGTGACTTGCGTTAAGTCATTGACATGGGAGAGAAAAAAGCAAAAGCATTGGTGTTCGTTTGACTGACAGCTGCTTTGCTCTGATGGTCTGGTTTGGATACTGCAAAAACTTAATACATTATTTCATTTGAAATAACTGTTTCTTGAGTCCCAACAATGCCAGAAAACCTGGTGGATAGCAGAAAAATAAAAGCAGTTATCGTAATAGGAGGAGGAAGAGCAAAGTATTACTACTGGATGTCAGAGGAATCATTACCATAAGCTATCTCCTGAAGATAACGAGCACTACAAGTAGATGCTGCCTTCCACCTATCAGAAAAAGATAAGAAACTGTCAGCTGCAAAAAACTTCACACGGATTTCTGATGCCAACGATAACGGTTTTTTCTTCAAGTAAAGACGTAGCACAAAGCCAAAACAAAGATAGTACGAGTCAAACACCTATAAGAGTTCAATATGAAAATGAAAACGCTAAGTGTTCTTACACAGAATAAATGACCAGACAGTTATAGGATCATGATAATGTTATTTATCCTTAAGAAACCTAGTAGCATCTTCAGTTTTTGGTAAGAAGAGCTTTAAAGACCGCAACTGACTGAAAGGAAAAGGTTACAGAAAGTCAATGAATCTCATCAGCTTCTAAAGCAGTGGATGGACGTGAACGAACTCCAGCAGGCTCCAAGCAGAATGAAGAATGAAAATAACTCAAATGTAAACTGATCAAAAGCCTACGCAACGATTGTGAGCAGTGATGTGTAGCGAAGGCTACAGAGATCCTAAATGAAACGATGCAAGGTATTTGTATCCAGTTATTTAAACTTACAAAAGAAACAGGTAAAAAGATTAATGGCTGGTGAGACCATAGTGAATGGCTAGAAGGATAGGTAGAATATTTCGAGCAACGGTTTAACTGACCCTTAGCCAATTTTTTGTTGCCCACTATCTAGTCGCATCCTGAGTGGAAAACTAAGATAGGATGTCCATCTCTTGCAAAAGTTCGGAAGATTACATTTGACTCAAAATGAACAGTCCCACACTGGTGGAAAAGCCCCAAACGCATTGAAAGACGGTTGTTCGGGATTATTGGTTAGACTGCCTGAAGTATTAGATGGAGTATGAGAATCAGATATAATTCCCCTTGACTAGTCGCAACCACAGGTTGTCACATACTACAAGAGGAATCAGACTGACGAATAATGTGTCTAAGATTATACACTCTGTTATCACGTGACGACTTACAGCAGCTCAACTCGAGAGAGCCAGGTTTTAGACCTAGCTTTGGGTGTATCCACCCGATCGTTTTCCTACACCGAGTCCTGGAACACAGAAATATCGACACCCGACAATAACTGCATTTTTCTGCCTGAAGATGGCATTTGAGTATTTTAAGGTGCTGTCTCTTTCTGAAAAGGTTGACTGTAAGGTATACCAGCCTAACAAGGCTTTGTTCTCGATAACCCATAGTCATATTACAGTGTATGGTGAGCTGCCAAATGTTCATAAAGAAATTTCTGACCACAGGTGATGATAGTTCATTGGAATATACGATACATAGACACACTTGATGGCCGCTACCCACTACATGGTGATCAGATTTCCATAGATGGGTGGGTAAATTTGTTGCACAAGATCTTACCATATCAAAAAAGTTTGTTGGATAGTGGTAAGACAAAAAGCAGTTACGGTTAATGTAAATAACTACGCTATGACGGGGTTCCAAAGAAGAAGTGATAAGGCTGACTCAAGTGCGACAGAAAAGCACTTAGATAGTCCTTTCGGAAACCTGGTCAGACAGGTGGATAATGGTTATCGTGTGCTATAACTGTGTTTAGATAACCACCTATTTCTGGCCAACATGAACAGGCTGAAACGGCGTCCACCGGTTTCAACTCTACGGTAGACAGACAAAAACCATGTCATCATCAGTTATCGCAAGAGCCGACCGGTGCAAGGCTATCGACTCATTTGGAGCGCTTACTAAGATAGTGATCACGCAATGCAGAACGGGCTGCAGCGCAGTATACTTGTCCGTTACTGGGTAGACAGATATTTTGTCAGTCAGCACCAGAGATGACGCAAGTTGGCAAATACAAAACAGGGGTTCTGTATCCGAGCTCAGATTCCATCAGCAACGAGTCCGTTTGAACTGACGCAACTCCCCAAGTAGGTAAGGTGGTCGGTTTATTCCACCACTTTACTTTCTATCCTGGAACCAGGAGTAGTTGCAGACTGGTCCTGAACCATCATCTTATATTTATGAAATCCACGCCAAACATACTCAGATTTCTGCTCAACGCGTTCAGAATACCATACATTTCAGCATCTTTACATAGCAGGACAATATCGTCTGCATACTCCAAGTCAACCAGATAACCTCCAGGTAGTAGGTCAATCCCAGTTAAGTCAGATTAACCTAGGGTTATGTCCATTAGTACGTTTATCAGTGAGTTAAATAAGAACAGTGACAGTGGGTATGGCGGACACTATTAGCTGTCGTCAACTCAACTGATAACTCCCCATAAGCCCATATATTTCAGCTTGGGTTGGAGTAGACAGCTTTGATTAGCTTTATATACTTGTTCGGTATTCCATTTACACTAAGACACTGCTAAAACACCTCTCGGGTGATAGTCAATGCCACCTTCAGGTTAACAAATATGGCAAGTGTCGGCTATTGGTCAGTAGTTACGCCTGAGTTCCAGAACCTGTCGTAGGGCAAAAATGTGATCGATGCACCCTCGTCTAGGTTTGAAACCTGTTAGTTGGTTGGGGGTAATTGACAGGAAGCCTTGAACCTGCCAAGAAGCACGAAACCTAGGTCTAGGGCTTCCTGCTGATTGCCTCCAACCAACTAACACCTATCAATGTGCATCGCGATGCTGAGCCTCCTAGCTTGGTGACCATATTCAGAAAATGATCCATAGAAACTAGTTAGCACACCGGACTAGACAACATTAAGTTGGTCGCTCTTCCGTGACCAATTAATGTGGGACTGAAACCTGCCTGGTTTTGTCGAGCTGGTTGTCCTTGAGTGGAGCTCAAGTTATGCGTCGGATAACTATGGACCCTAGGATCTTGGACACAATATCAGTCAAACTAATTCCCCTGTGGTTGTTACAAGAAGAATGTTTACAGATTGGGACGATCAGTAAAGTAGACCAGTCTCATGGCACTGCGTCTGATTTCCATACACTACCTAGTACCTCCGTCATTTAAACCAGCGATTTCCTACCTTTATATTTAAAGGCTTCGGGTGCCAAACCACCAAGTTTTGCTGCTTTTCACCGTTTCAGGTCTGACACAGCCTGCTCAACTTCGACAAGAGCTGGAGAAACGACACTTATGTTTCATTCATGTTTGGGGTGGATGTTGGGCAACTGGAGCGTTGTTGTGAGCGAGTTTAACTGTGCTTTAGTGTTGCGCCCTAGGTTCTAGCCATCTGTCCTGGGAGATCATCAGCGTCAGATCCTTTTCGGTAATGGTTTCAATAAATTCAATAATTTACGTTTAAGTTGCTTTCGCTCTTAATTGTGGTCTAATCCAGCTAGAATCAGTCTTCTTGGATTAATCAGTCCAGATGACGTTTCGGAAATCCAATGAAGTTCATAACTTTTGGGTGTAGGTTACCGACCGTCGTAACCGCTGTTTCTACAGCAAACTTAATATCACGCCACGTTTCCGCAAGATGAGTGTTGTCACGCTGAGATAAATGCTTAGCTAACTCCCCCTTAAATACATACTTGGCGTGATATTTCAATCGAGCGTAGACAGGCTTAACTGCCGTCTGTTTCTTACAACCAGCTAGACGAAGGGATACACATGCCCGTGCTAACGCGTGATTCGAGTCCGAACAAGTACTCCAGAAAGAGCGATAATCGTTCTCGGATCTTTTCTAATGATGGCTTACAGCAATATGATCTGTGTCTACCGTTGGTTTGATGTCAGCAGATGCCAAGTGAGAGCGTCTTATCTTAAAGCTAGTGCTGGTCAGAAATAAATGGTTGTCAGAACTAAACTGCAAAAGACAATCAAAATTTTCGGTTTGTTGGCATTGGATTCCATAAATACCCGCAAGATGTCTTTTTGATTGGCATCTTTCCTAATTGAACACTTAAGTTATTTGCCATTATGACTGTATAGTAACATTTCGTTCTCTGTAGCAAAACAGAGAACTTATGATAGAATTCGTCCTTGGCATCACTCCAGCTGCAGTCGATATGTGCGTAGGCGTCAATTACGAATAAGTATTGACTAGTCTTTCGATACTTCCCAGCTTTTACAGATCCATTCAGTCGAAAGGCAGATAGACGGCTGTTAACTGATATCCAGCCGAAAGTGCAGTTTCTCTACAACTCAATGCAATGTTTAACCCCAGAGAGTCTACCAGAGCCATCGGGTCTCCGGATACTCTTAAGGTGAATTTTGACGGTCCACTACAATAGTAAGGTGAGGTCAATTTAATAATCACACTCGGATCCTGTATACGAGTCTCAGAGGGACAGCGTACATTCCTGGCCCGATATTTCAGAGTTCTGACAAGCGGTGTTTGTTGTCCGATTTGGCATGGGGTTTGGACATTGAAAGTACCAAAAGAAATGGATGACGATGTCATAGGAGGCTAAAATTGAGTCTCCAACTACTTTGATCGGTGGCAATGGTCGCAGTGTGAGAGGCTGAGGAAGTTTTAAGAGGCTTAATATTGGTTTCGGGAGGCTCATTCTATAAAGAATGCTTTTGAAAAACGCCGATACACCTAATCAAAAAAGGGTTTGGAAATACAGCCGTTTAGCTGCAGAATAACCGGCTTCTTGTACTACATACATTATTTCCTTGTTACTTCAAGATTATGCTCGCACGATCTGCATTATCGCGGTCTGTTTATTAAGTATGAACCCCAGATTTGTAGTGTACACAAATGCCTTCATTTTGCCTCAATAACTTTTGCACGGTATCATGGCTGCTAAGCAGTACTATTACATAATGTTGTTTGTCAGTTGCATTATGCAGGATGGTTTACACTTATTTGCAGCAGCTGAAAGTAGATGGAAACAGGGGAAAGGTTGACGGGGTTCACGCTTAATAAACAAACCACGATAATGCAGGTCGCTAGAACATGCTCACGAAATAATAAGGATACAAGACTTATGAAACCAAAAAGCGAGAAAAGAAACTGGAATCCTGATTAACATCAGGAGAGGAAGATCACAAACTGGTGGGTTTTGTATAGTGAAGCTTCGGAAACAAATGATGCTGGAGCTTCTATAAGTAGGTAGAAAACTCACATAGGAGGTTTTATGGTCCTGCACACAAATGGTGTGAGCCTTTTGATAAAGTGAACCAAGCTATGCTATCTCCAAAATAATTGATCTCAGATATACGACTTTCTTCTTCGTTTTCCACTATGGTAATGGATTAGCATTTACAGGTAGCAGCGTCATCTTAAAGGCCATTTAAACGGTCGCGTATGAAAATTCTACGTTAGGGACTGAAATGGAGTGGACAAGCTGTTAACTTAGTCGTGTTAATAAGTAGTCCTGAAAGTGAGGCGCAAGAGTTTCACGCGAATAAACAAACAAAAAACAAGCAAATTTTCTGTTCTAGAAGATTGGTGCACTAAAAGTTGACTGGGATAGTCTAACAAAAGAATCATAAGGTAATTCACTTGATGGAACTGTCGATTTCTACGGCTTTCATACAGCACACTGCGGCAGAAACTTAGTATCTGCTCATTAAGGTGATATAATATTTATCATGTACCATGCCTCCTTGACAAAAGTGGCTATGCTGTGATCATCAGATTCCCAACAGCCATTTTACGCCAAGATGAGAACCCAGGTCAACCCGATTTGTGGAGGATGAATAAGGCAGCTGTTAATGCAGTAACCTCTGAGAACTGGACCGTATTTACATGCGACTATACACATTATTTACCTCTTTCTATTAGGTTGGAAAACCTTAGAGAACATAAAAGAGTGAAAAGCCAAAGACGAATGTCGTTGGAGTGAAGTACTTGTATTAACGTTAGCCACAAATTCATTCAAGATGGGGCTGGACAAATCAGATTCCATTGGAAGGAAATTAACATGTACAAACAGCTTCCTATCTTCAAACACCAGATAATAAACTTGCACGTAGAGCAAGAAGCTGCAGCTCTTTGGTCGTTCTGCAGAGTTGAAGTGGGAGAGGCTGGAATTTTTGATCAGTGCACTAACACTGATACCGCTTAATATTAAGCGATATACGAGAAAACTTAGGATACATTGAAAAACACGTCACTCATATTTCACGCGAACGCTTTAGGGTTAGGTTTGGATGCGAAGCATGTACATGTTTCACATATACCCTTTCTAGTCAAAATATCAACAACAAAAAGTTGAAATGAAGCTACTTCCTAGTTATGAAGCAATATTATGAAGACTGCAATAGTATTTCGGTATTACTTACACCAAGGTATATATATTCTCTCTTAGAACCAGCATTATGAGTACGAATTCCTGAAGACCTCAAAATTTTCTGCCAGAAAGGCTTAGTAAAAATGGATTATGAATGACCTCAAGACAAAGAATACCACTTGATGCCTTAAGTTTTGAGTTTGGCAGAAATATCCACTGTATTCCTTGGTCTTTCAAAATGTTTTATTTGCACTTGAAGGTCACATCCAATATCCAATTTCTTTCTACAATCTTATGTTAACTGGTTGATTTCTTAGCGGCAGCTTCTTAGTCTTGCGGAATGGTTGCATGTTTTTGGTTGTTTCCGATGCAGTAGGTCTGCTCGCTCGCCTGCTGTACCTATGGTTAGCCCAAAGAGTGACTGGGTGGAAACGGTTCAAATGGTTGTTGACAGGGTAGAAGAAGCTTTTACTTGACTAGCTTCCGAGTCCAAAAACCTATGGATCTATACTTCTTGTGGTTGCCAACTTGTGCACAAGTAAAGAAAGAGGAAAATGTGGCTGTCAAAATGTAAAAATTCCATCAGTTCTCCGTAGATCCCAGCCAGATGTGAAATAGGTATCCAGCCAACGTTTAAAGGACTCAGGGAAAGCAGCCTGGGTCAAGTCTGGATAGTGAGCATTCCATGCTGTAACAAGTCTTGAAATATAAAAGTTGTGTCTAATATGCGACTTGAAATATTCCTACGTTAATTACTGTTTATCCTCTTGAATTAGATCCTGGTTTATTAGTCCACTAGTTACTAGCCGGTCCTAAGCCCGGATAAAGAGAGAAGGTTGGGTATAGGGCTAGCAACCCTACCTCGGAAAACCAATCCAACCACTGAAGAAACTTCAAAGCACAAACAAAATATAAAAATGAACTTATTCCTCTCTAGAATCGGGAAGACGAAATGACCCAGGTTGGTGAAAGTCTTCGGGAAGCCAATTGGCCGATGTGTCTTCTCTTCTCTCCGTGAAAGCGAAAGTAAACGTGGGGACATGGAATGTCCGCACCATGTATGAACCCAGCAAGGCTGCCCAGATTGCAAACGAGATGAAGAGGTATCACATTGAAGTGTTAGGAATCTGCGAAGGCAGGTGGAACGGGAGTGGACTCTCCAAACTCTTAACTGGAGAGTCGATAATCTACTTGGACATTGTCACCCACACGACAACCACGAACACACTGAGTTTTCGAGTGGTTATCATGATGTCCCCTTGAAGAGCATCGAAGGCTGTCATACAGTGGGAACCAATCTCATCCACCATCAGGATCATGACAGCAAGCTTCAAATCAAAAGGAGGGAAAGTCACAATCATACAATGCTACGCTCCCACAAATAACACAGATGAAGAGAAGAAGGAGGAATTCAGCACTGGACAAGACACCACCCCAGATGGCGACATCAAAATTCTAATGTATGGGGTGACATGAATGCCAAACTGGGAGCAGACAACACACGAAGAGAACTAACCATGGGTCGAGAAGCGCTAGGTGAGATGAACGAGAATGGAGAACTGTTTACAGAATTCTGTGCATTCAACGATTTAGTGATTGGAGTCAGGCAGTGTGTGCAAACACAAGGACATTCACAAAGCGACATGGGTTTCACCAGATGGACACACTACACGACAAATCAGATTGACTTCATCTCAATGTGAAGAAAGTGGAGACGCAGACTACCGGACACAAGATCAACAAGGGGAGCAGATGTAGGTTCAAACCACTGTCTAGTGCAAGGAACCTTCCAAATCAATTGGAAAGCCTTCAAAGAAGTTGGTGATGGACCAGAGTTCAAGTTCAACACCCGAGAACTGAAGGACGAAACCACAAGGAACATCTTCGCATTGGTTGTCAGGGCGAAATGGGAGACGTTGAGCAACATCCTTGAAGAAAACTGTGTGGATGAACACTGGAACTCTTGAAAGCTATGTGGAAAGAAACCTGCATAACCGTATTAGGAAGGAAGAAGAAAGAAGATAAAGAGTGGATCTCGACGGACACATGGAAGCAGATTGACGAGAGAAAGGTGGCGAAGTGGAAGATAAACCAGTGGAGGGATGCACAACGAGAAGAGGATCTGAGTACAGTGTATAAAACACTACACTGGACAAAGAAGTAAAGGAGAGTGCACGCAAAGAAAAGAGAAACTTCTACGACACATTGGCAAGGGAAGCGGAACTTGATGCTGGTAGGAGAGACCTGACAACATTGTGTCAAATAACCAGGTTACTACCCGGTAGAGATCAACGCAGATGAAACCGATAAAAGATGATGAAGGAAAAAATCTAAACACCAAAGAAGAGGAGAAAAGGAAACGATGGGTTGACCACTTCAAAAAGCTATTGAATCGACAACCATCACCACCTGCAACTCGTTAGAAGTACCATCAGCAACAGCAGAACTACGAGTAAACGCACCACCCTCTCCCCGTAAGAAAGTCAAAGTCTCGAACGCCAGAAAAGTGGAGATGGATTAGATTGTACATACACTGAGAAGACCGTTTGGGTACTTCCCGCGCCGGGCCAGGCCTTCGAGCAGAACCCAAGTGGGAAACGACGAGTTGGGCGTCCGTGGGTGTTATGGGGAAGATCACGTAATGAAGAAATGGAATCTTCTGGGTGGCCATGGAGCCAAGTTAGAAACACTGCAGAGAAGACAGTGAAATGACGACGTGCTGCTGAAGCCCTACATTCCACTAGGAACCCAAGGGTTAAATAATTTTCAAAAATTAAGAGGGATCGGTGCCACAGCCAAGATTAACTACTGATAGAGTGGGTGTCCGGCGGTTCTCAGAGCGCTGCAGGGCATTATTAAGCCTCCTCCTAGCCTTCTCTATTACAGGGGATACGGATTCGGCGCAGCCGGCCGCCAAGCGCTTATGGATGCCTTCTAACCTCAGTTTGTCCCTCTGCAGCGAAGGAGAAGGAATACGGTCCCGAGCTTCGAGTGTGGTCATATGAAGCTGATCGAATTGTCCGAAAATTCATTTAACAGTTACCAGCGCAGGGTTGTAGCGAAAGGCGTTTTTGTCACAGTTAGTATAAGACCTTAAGTCTTGAGGGACTAAAACGACTAAATCCTTCTCTGTCAGTGACGCTTCAAGTTCCATACAGTTGAGACTGCATACACGAGATACATCGTTTTTCACGTATATAACCTTGCACTTCCCAGGATTAAATGCCACCTGGTTACCTTCTGCCGAGTTTTGAAGTTTAATCTTGCTGGACCACCAGGTGAGGTCGAACGCAGGTTTCGTAGAGCCTCAGGAAGAGTTCTGGTGTGAAGGCGCTTAGTCGCCCTGCCATGAGGTGCATGTGGTGGCCCCGAAGGCATCTACTAGATACTTGACGCAGGCGTCTGGCTTGTCAGAGTAGTAAGGCCAAGGTTTTTCTCTGGTGATGTGGGAAGGCTGCGTACCACGGAATAGGATATATTTTTCTAGCAAGTTACCAGTGGAAACACATATGTGCCCTTTTTTATGGTCTCTTCAGAAAGGGTGATAATAGGATGAATTCGCATGTATTTGATTCTACTAGTAATGAGCAACTACGTGACTGCAGGTTTTCTGCCAGCTATGATACCTGAGAACGCTTAAGGCTGGGGAGACCGGAAAGTTACGTTTGCTGACTACTACATGCCGTATACAGTAAACTTTGGTGACGGAATCTCGGCACCAGGGTTTCGAAGCCTTGGAGATGTAGTGTTCACAGTCATTCACTGTGCCCATTTACAAATTACGTTGCTGATCCTCAACAAACGTTCGATGAATTATAGCGAAGATTACGTTTTGGGGTACTGGCGGTTAGATGAATTACCTGCCGCAAGTCTTTATTGGGAATGCAATGTTTTGACGAATTGTGTACCTAGAAATGAAAAAGGAGATGACTTCATCTTTCCCTGTTCCAGATGCTACAATAAGAAGTCTTTGAAGACTATCATTTTTGAGAAGGTCTCATCCAACTGTGTGACAGATGATTTGTTGGGTTGTTGGCAGACCTATAATATCAGGAGGATCTCTTACAGAGTTCAGTGTAGTCTTTTCGGTGTGGTCGTATTGATAGCCCAATTACTCGCTCCAAACTGGCATTAAGGCTGGATGTTAAGTTAGGTAGAGTGGGAAGTAGGGTGGAAGTTGGTGAGTGTCTTGTCTCAAACACAACCTATAAAAACGACTCACGTAAGCAAATACTTGGGGTTCGTCAGTTCCGTTATCTTAAAGGGTTACAAACAGCCACTTCTTTGTTGGGGCAAACAACCCGCTCAGGTCTATCTGAAGTGCACGTTCATCGTCAACCATAATTTCCCACCAAACAGCCATGAGAGATTTCAGGATATTCCGCGGCACGTTTGTGTGTGGGAGAAATAACAAGGAACCTGGGAATGCCATAGTGAGAGGTAGTTGGGTGGAGTCCAAGGATGACAGGATACCGGTGAGTGGCACTTCAATCGTTTCTAGGGGTGCTAGGCAGAGTACCTCATTCCGGGTTGCATGGGGAGCTGAAGCATTTTGAAATCACCGGCTACCTACCTGCACGGAGCGGGCAAATCCCTGTTGGTAATATGTAGAGAGTAGGGATCAGTTCTCGACTCCTCCTTGGAAGTCGGTAGAGAGTAAGGTTTCACAAAGCACAGTCCTGCATCTCTTGCCATCTCTCCTACACAAGGATGAGCTGCCGAATATCATGAAATCTTCCATAATTTCCCACGCCGGTGACGTAAACCTTTGTGGGAAATTGTGGTTGACGATGCACGTGCACTTCAGATAGACTTAAGCGGCCTGTCTGCTTGGTCAGGGGAGCGTCTGGTGCCTGCCAACGCAGGTAATTGTGTGAGCATCCAAACGAGGCACGCAGGTAGCGACACAATTGATGTGGGTGGGACTCCTCTATCATTACCGACTCCTAATGGTCTACAGCCGCGGTAACTTATAATTTGAAGACATTGGCACACTGTCGATTGGTCACAGCTCTGAGCTTGGGACACTTCTGGCATCACGCAGAAAGCTTACAAAAATAATTGGTGATATGTTCACAGTCTTGCGCACATACGTGGCTGGATATAAGATAGAGAGCGGTGCGCAAGCGGCAAATCCTTGCCTGAAAAGCAACTCGAACGTTCTGGAAAGAGTTCAGAGGGCAGCCCCCGTAAGGTCCCTACGACAGCCAGCCTCACCTAAGTAGGTCGGATTAAGGAGCTAAACCTCTTTTCTCGGTCCTA